GTAAAGAATGTTATTTTTGTTTGTCACGCCTAAGCTCTTCAAAGAAATATCCACGAGGATATAGTTCAAAATTTGTCTCACTGTCTGAAGTCTCTCTTGAAAAGACATTCTGAATTTCATTGATTGGTGGAGTCATGACCCTTGTGGGTTTCTGGAACCGAGTTTCAGGAGTAGATGTCATCCTGAAGGTTCCCAGGGGTGAAGTGACAGRTGAAGGATGGTTATCAGATGTAGCCATTCCTGTTACTGGTTGACAAAGCTGATTGGGAGGGAAAGGTCGTGCAAATTGATTTGGCATTGTTGCTACGGGGCTCTCAAAATTGGGATAACTGTAATCTGATGTATTCTTCATCATGAATTTGTACATTGTTTGGTTTATCTCCATCTTAGCCATTAATCTGTCATGCAAAGGCATCTTTTTCAGCTGAGTTCCTATCAATTCTGAAAAAATGGTCTCTTCATCTTTGTCCTTCTCGGGTTCCTTTCTTTGGTCAAGTTTACTCCCAATACTCTTTATTAGTTCTATACCTGCACTTTCAAAGTCATCCCTCTTTGATCTTTTTATGTTTTTTGTTCTCCCTGTGGTCTTGGATTTAATAACTGTAGGTTCACTGCAGTCCGAGTCCAAAGAAGGATCAGTCTTATCATCAGAAGCTTCTTCTTCATCAATGTTGCTACCATCTTCAGACATGGAGGCAACCATATTCGATGATGAACGGCGTGGCTTGATATATTCGTCCAACCAGGCTAAATAGGGGAACATGTCACTTGTCTCGCTCTTGACCTCGTTGACAGTCTTTGTGTCTGTGCCACTCACTTTTACACACTGTAATTTCTTCTTATYCCTCGTGTAACGATTACGAAGGTTCTTAAATGCATTTTCGGCATCTTTCCCTATCAAAACATTGATGGTTAATTCATGATATTAAGCTTAAAACTTCGTATACTGAAGGATGCAAAATCACTAGAACAAAACAAAAACTTTTGCAGTTTACCTGAAGCAAACCCAACCGAGGTGGCAACGTCACTCCATGCAAGATCCTTTTTGTTTCGATCTTTAAAATCTTTCAAGGATTTATCAAAAAGAATAGGAAATCCACGTACAGTTTCTGCTAGTTTTTCGTCAATGAGCACAACACTCTCTTCGTCCGCCATTTTGTTTCTCACGGTAAGCCGGGTTGGTACCCAGTGTTCTGTGATTGGTTTAATACCTTCGCTTATGCTTGTGCTTATGTTTCTCCTATTTTCACTTGACATAAGGACAAGCATAAACATAAGAAAAACGAACATGTTGGTTTTCTTGTGTTTGTGCTTATGCTTGCGCTTATGCTTATGTCGGCACTGTCCTCACTAGCTTATGCTTGTGCTTATGCTTGTGCTTATGCTTGTGCTTATGCTTATGCTTATGCCTAGTGAAAACCAGCCTATAATGGTAAATGATGCTCTCAGTGTATTGAAGGGTGGAGGAAACTTTGAAAAAACCTCTTGACTGATATGATATAGGTCAGGGTCAGTTTACTTACAACTCGAATCGGTTTCTACGAATGGGAGAAGAAAAAGAACCTACAGAAAAGTGGTTGAAACAAAGGAGAGACCCAACAAACTCTACTCACATGTGATGTGGAGTTCAGGAATATCTAATATTAACGACTTACCTTCGGTTTCCGCTATAAACCAGAACCTGGGAGCCAAGAATTAATCGTATTTTCAAACTTTCTTTTTTTTTTTTTAACATTGCAGGAGGATGTTCACCACCTCAACAAATAGGCCCCGTAGCTTTGCCTTTGAAGGAGCTTAGGATTTGCCGAGAAAAAGAAAACCCAGAACAACTAGCTGTCGAGCAAGAACTGCATTAACTCTTCTAAAGACAAACTCCACACCTCTGAGGTGAGTACAAAACAAATCTCTTGATGATGTAAAACATTGGTAATGTGATAAGGCTTCGCATAGATGTTACTAGTATTGTTATTGGTTTTGTTTGGTTTCGGTTTCCTCATCCCAGAATCCAATAGACGCTCATGAACACAGGAATCAAAGATATGGCATCCAAAAACATCTTCCAGAAACCGGAGTGATTGCACCATCGTTTTAGGTTCCAATACCTGTGGTTTTTTTCCTCTGAAACCCAAGTTATCCTCACTTGTCACTATTCGCAAATTATCTCTTGTTTCACGCGTTTTATAGCTCAGAGGTTTTTATTCAATCGCATTGTTAAAAAGTGTTATGACTCTTTTGCTGCAGAATAAACGACTGAAAACGAAATATTGATAACCGAGCATCAATAAGGGATGGAGGATGATGATGATGAAAGTAAAAAGATTGTCACAAGGTTGTTGATCTTAAAGAAGACACAGCCTTATAGGCTAAAGCATTCCTGGTAGTTTAAATAAACGCGGGTAAAAGGCACTGCGTCTTTCAGCGTTGCAAATAAATTAAATCAGTAACAGATTATTAAATAAGAATCATTAGAGGACATAGATAATGACTCTGGTATGATTTGCCGAGCTGAAGAAAGTAAATTCGAAGAGATCGATTAGAACAATCTTTGTTTTTACACATATTTGATATTTTCCCGCCCTTTTAATGAACAAGCGCAGTGCTTTTCACCCTTGTAAGACCATAAATGTTCAAAATCTTAAAACCAAAAATATGAACAAAAATTATCGTTGTTTCGTTTCTATCATAATCATTTTTTGTAGCTTTTAAAACATATTGATAAATATTTAAAACTGCCTTCGCTAGCATTTGCTGTCTGTAATAGAAAATGAGAGTAGCGTTTCTCTCGTAATTATTATATTTGTAGTTATTTATAGATATTGGTAAATAATTAACTGCCTTTTCTTGCATTTATTGTCTCTAAAAGAAAGTGATAGTGACGGTAACGTTGCTACTATAATGATCATATTGTAGTTATTAATAGATATTGATAAATAATTAAAACTGCCTTCGCTTGCAATTGCTGTCTCTATCAGAATCATTTTAACTGTCGATTTTATAAAACATTGATAGTTCAGTACCTTTGATTGTAAAAGAGTCAAACTAAATACATTCTTAGTCCCAATTGAAGCTTATAAAATTTCCTTAACCTATAATGCTTCAACACATTTAAATATGATTGTATTTATAGTAATTTAACATTTTAAACGATTTAATATTAAATAAAGTTGTTTAAAACCACCCGACAGTTTTTGTGGCTACTGCTTCGTATAGATATAGCTGGCTTTCATATGACATCATAATTTCCTGTCTCGTGCGGAATTTTCATCAGCTGAATCGCAAGTTTTAAATATAATTCTTTCTGGCTGACAGCACATGGTGATCAGTGTTTGACCACCATTAGTGTGGTGGAGCAAATGATGAGATCCAAAAACTTTCAGGAAAAATGGAGCTCGAAGCAAAAAACAAAAACAAAACAAAACAACAAAAAAAGACATTTTCCAGTGTTTCTGCAGAAATGCAGAATTTCATTGAGAAAAAGGATTTGGAAAATACATCGCTTTTATTATCCGAGTGCGAGGTCCGTACCGTAAGTTATTGACCGAGTTTTTTTCCACTGCCTTATGCCCCTTGTGGCGCGCCGGCCATAAAAAAGTGGGGGGAAACGAGGATCCATAACTTACGGTACGGACCGAGAAAACGAGGTTAATAAAATATCTATTATCTGGCAAGGCGTTGAGATTAAAAAGATGCGGTGCAACAAAAAGTAAAATTGACAGACGAATGTCAAACGAGATCTGCATTGCAAGGGCTTCCCGTACGTAGCTTGAGTCGCTCAGAAAGAGAGGTTTTAGTTCATTTTTGAATGGATTTAGCTATAATTTAAAGTTTTCTAAATTACTAGCTAACGAAAGGGAAGCTTTCTTTTGCAAAACGTGAATGCAAAGCAGAAAAGGCATCAAAAGAAAACTTCAAGAACTCAACATGAGCCAGAGAAGAAAACGGTCGTACTTCAAACTTCTTTTACACTTCACTGAGTTCCATCGAATTAATGAATTCAACTGCCAGTTCTTCACTTACATCTGACTCTACTGGTGAAATAGCATTTTCTGATAGAAATATGTCAGCATATTCCTTCATAGAATATACAAAAACACTCTAAACAGTTTCATTACTTGCAATATTTTCATCTTTAGAAATGATACTGTCTAGTTGTTATTTCTGAAGCAAAATTTTCCTTTAATGCTGATAGATTAGGCAAATCTACAGAGATTTTATGTAAGAGTTAATTACCGAGGTAATCAAGTATTTTATTTATCAATTGAGGTTTTCTATTAGATGTTGCTCATTATAAGTGCGAAGTCTATATATAGTTTTTAACCGGGTTAATAACTAACTTTATTATATACCAACTGTCAAAGCTCAATTTTCCTCAATTTTTATTGGTCGAGAGCGTGTCCCGTGAACGTGAAGAAATTCGACTGTTTCCTGGCGACCATTCTGGGAGGGGARTATTATGTTATGGACCGGGAATAACAAAACCGGAAGTCACGTGATTGGAAGAAAAAAAACAACAACCGGAAACCAGAAAGCAACACATTTGAGCGCGCGTTTGCAAAATTCATTCACACGCTTTCTTTCACGAAACATCAGATTAAACATGGAGTCTTCCCGATTTTCTTGCCGCGGAGAGGCGGAAACATCCAATTTACTAGAAGTCAAGGATTCTACATCGACAAAACAATCGACTAAACAAGCAGTCAAGATTTTACGAGAATTTTGTGAGGAAATATGCCAACTTTTGACAAAGAAGTGCATATTTATTAAGTTGTAGGTTTGCTTTGACTACGGCTACGCACAAGTTGTGTATTAAAAACATTAACAATCTTATTCATTTCTCCATTTTTGTTTTGTTCTTTTTGAAACTTGGTACGATAGTAAAGCACTTATTTACTAGGACCTCGGGGAAGCAGCATGTTTTGTGGTCCCCTCGGCTCCGCCTCGTGAAACATCAGCGGTCTCGGGACCACAAAACATACTGTTTCCCTCGGTCCCAGTAAACAAGTGTTAAATATATTGACCTCGCATTTATAATGAGGGTTATAACAAAAATAAAGCCTTGTGAATAACAAAGAAAACCGTGTCAATTGAGAAATAAGAGCAATTAAAGGAGCTCTCTCTTAAATTATTGTAAACGTAAACCATGAACATCGTACCGGTGGAGAGATTGGAGATCTTAACTTCTTTCTATACTCTAGTCGACCAACTTGTAGCTCACTTATTTGCAGCGATCCTTCCTTCCCTTTTTCTCTTCGCAACCAAACGCAGTCTTTACTTGCACCTGTATGCATTCCATTCGCGATGACTGTGGCAAGTAGGACAAACAGAGCAATGTTTCTACAATAATCATCAGCTCTACAATAAAGGTAGCTGACTACATTGGTAAATATTAAACAGAAAATTTAAAATTTAAACTTCTTTAACCTGGAATTTAATGCTGATTTTAAAAATGCAAAGAAAAATGGGGTGTTCCGAGCTTGCTTTTGAGATAATCACTCTGGAATGACATGCGTTTGCACAATTTTGGAAGAAAGATAGCGAAAATCAAGTTCTGTGCAAAAAAATCATAAAACCGAAACTAAAACTTGAAGGTCAAAACGTGTATGGTTCTTCAATATCAAATCGTGAAGATTATTCAGCGGTTTTTGAGCGAGCGCAAATCGTGGGATGAAATCGAATGTTGAAAGCAGTCAGCCACCTTAAAACAGACTTTTCATTAGTCAAATTCAAGCTTGGCCTTCATGTAAGCAGAAGTGATTTTCTAAATTGGTTGTCTAGATCCATCCTGGGCAGTCGGGAAACTTTTTCAAGTTATACTGCCGTGCACGGACGTCACTAAAACAGGGAATGACCGGGAATTGGGAATAGAAGACTACAGTGCCTGAATATATATATTATCTTGTACGAACTTAATAGCGGGGATCAGTAAATGTCGAACAGAGATATGCAAAATGAAAAAAATAAAAAATTCCCAAAATATTTCCAAAGATAGGTTTTGTTGAAGTAAAAAATTTAGAATTGTTCACAGGATTTTTGGTTTTCGCGAACGACGGCATTTTCTGTACATCAGCTTCACACCCGCTTTACGCCTGCCTCAGACCGGTATTAAGAAAAAATCCATAAAAAAAGAGGAAAGAATATATTTTGCCACTAAACCCCGAATCCCGATTTGTATAGAGGAATAACGTCTTAGTAATTTTTCCTAGTTTCATTAATTGAGTTT